AAGGCGGGCTGTGAGGGCGTGGCGGTGTGAGGCGCTGCGCGGTCTCCTCAGGGTGCGGGGAGCGCGCTTTGGACCGCTGAGCGGGAATAAAAATCACCTCACGCAGCTGGGTCCTCCCGTCTCGGTGCTTTCTGGTGCCTTGGGGATCCTTCGGCAGCAGTAGGTACTGTGGGGCAGGGGTTCTGTGCACTCACAAAGTGCGTGGAAAAAAGGGCCTTGCCGATGGGTGAGCCGCCCTGAAGGAGAACGCGGACATCTGCGTGGGGGACTGCTCGTGGAAGTGCCTCATGGCCTCTGTTTGCCTGTGCAGTCCATGTCCTGCAAATCCTCAGGGGCACGAAAGGTAAAAGCAGGCTGGTGCCAAGTCAAAGGGAACTGTCATTTTGTGTACAGGCTGAAACCATCAGTTCTTTGTTGCCCACGCTGGCTTTCAGCTAGTGTTAAATCTTCTCTGGCAATCCCTGAAAACACCTCTACGTGGATCATACAGGATGCTGCCTCAGGTTTTACACATGCACACTGGCGTATTAGTATTCTGCATATCTTCGCTTTTATTAGCTGGATAAATACACCTTCTGAAAACGGCGTTGAAAACAATTACGTTTACTCAGGCTGAAAATGTGGTTACATTGCTATGTTATTAAGAGTACTATAGCAAAAGTGCATATAAATATTCAACATCTGTGCTCTCCCAATGTGTAAATTGTGTTGTTATTATGTATTACTATGTTAACATTTGCACTGAAACGGTGCTGAACTTGAAGAAAAACTATATTGTGAAGATATCATCTTGTCAAAAAAACCCAGAAGGGTTTTCTAGCAGTAATTTGAAGACTGCTTCAATTTTTCTCTTAGAAAAATTTAAAATAGGAAGATCACTGTAATAGGAGAAGAGCTGAATGAAGGAATATACACTAGAAAAACGGTGGAAAATGAGAAGAGCTCAAAAAGATACATGGCAACTACTAAACCAGTGCCAGAAGCATTGGTATACATTTTTCTTGAGGGGCTTTATGGAAATTTATGGATAAATTCTCGTTGAACTGATAGATGTGAGCGCAACAATGTAAATAATTCAGGAAGAATTATCCCCAGTTCTTTAGCAACAAGTAACAGACAAAAAAAACCCGGATCCCTCCCAAACCACAGTCCCATCTTTTGATATGATGTGTTATTTGAAGATTCATAGAATCATACAATGGTTTGGGCTGGAAGGGACATTGTGGATCACCTCGTTCCAACCTACCTGCTATGGGCAGGAACACCTTCCACTACACCAGGTTGCTCAAAGCCCCACCCAACCTGGCCCTGAATCCTGCCCGGGAAGGGGCATCCACAGCTTCTCTAGGCAACTTGTGCCAGTGCCTCACCACCCTCAAAGAATTTCTTTCTTATATCGAATCTAAATCTACCCTCTTTCAGTTTAAAGCCATTACCCCTTGTCCTATCCCTACAGGCCCTTGTAAAAAGTCCCTCTTGAGCTTCCTTGTAGGACCTTTCAGGTACTGAAAGGCTGCTATAAAGTTTCCATGGAGCCTTCTCAAGGCTGAACAGCCCCAGCTCTCTCAGCCTTTCCTCACAGCAGAGGTGCTCCAGCCCTGGGATCATTTTTGTGGTCTCCTCTGGCCCTGCTCCAACAGGTCTATGTCTGTCCTGTGCTGAGGGCTCCAGACCTGGATGCAGGACTCCCGGTGGGGTGTCACCAGAGCAGAGTATAGGGGCAGAATCCCCTCCCTCGACCTGCTGGCCATGCTTCTCTTGACGTAGCCTAGGAAACGGTTGGCCTTGTGGGCTGCGAGTGCACATTGCTGGGTCATGTTGAGCTTCTCATCAACCAGCACCCCCAAGTCCTTCTCCTCAGGGCTGCTCTCAACCCCTTTTCCACCCAGCCTGTATCTGTGCTTGGGATTTACCTGACCCATGTGCAAAACCTTGCATTTGGCCTTGTTGAACTTCATCAGGTTTGCATGGGCCTATCTCTGAAGCCTGTCCAGGTCCCTCTGGATGGCATCCCGTCCCTCCAGCATTCTGACCACACCACTCAGCTTGGTGTCATCTGAAAACTTGCTGAGGGTGCACTCAATCCCACTGTTCATGTTGCCGACAAAGATGTTAGTGCTGGTCCCGATACCAACCCCTGAGGAGCGCCACTCGTCACTGGTCTTTGCTTGGACATCAAGCCGTTGACTGCAGCTCTTTGAGTGCAACTGGCCTGCAGTTCCCCTGGTCTTTCTTTTTTCCTTTTTTAAAGATGGGATTATATTTCCCTTAGAATAACACTTAATTTTTTCATCAAAAGGAAAATAAATACAGAAGGCTATCAAGTTCCATTCTTGTCAACCGAACCATTTTGAGATGATGGATGAAACAGCAAGATTGTCTTATAAATGATTTTAAAAACTGCGACTGTAAAGATAAAAAAATTGCGTAAAGAATTAAAATTCTCATGAAGTCACAGACCTCCAAGTGGTCAGTCTCTCGAGAAAAGTACATGCTGTCCTGAGACTTGTGATAAAACTACAAGAGTTAGCAGCAGGTATTCTGAGCATGGAGGTAGCTATCAGAAGAGTTAGATATTTTTTCTGACTGATACTGGCTTTCTTCATTGAAATAGTTTGGGGAATCACTGAATATCTCTGGACCTTATTGGCTGTTATGTTAAATTTGTGATTAAAAAAAGCTTATTCTTTGTCTTACGTGCTAAAATGCTTCAATGTCACGTGCTGCATTCATACATAATATTTTATTGTTATTCATACTCAGGATCAAGCTATGTTTCAGTGAGAAAATTAAATCCCATTTCATTCTATTGCAGTTCATTAAACCAATTTCATCTTTTCCTCCTGTTTGACATGTAACTAACATTTCTCAAACATTTCTGGAGCATGATTTTGGATGTTGCCAAGGCCAGGTTTGCTCAGTCTTTGGGAAAGCAAACTGTGGCAATCTTCAGGTTCCAGCACTCCTTGGTCTAGAAATAATGCTAAAGGCAATTAAAAAAAAATAATCTGGCAAATGCAACATAAAAATAGTACAATGATAAACAGCATTGGCCTGAATAAGATGAAGGGGACTTCTTTGATTTCCATGATATATCTCAAATTTGAGGTTATGCCATATCTAAAAAATTAGTTTATGTAAACAAATAAGGATCATATTGTTCTTAGTGAGGAAGAATAATAAATTACTTTTACAAATACTTTACAATGGTGTCCAAGTACTGAAACAGAATGAAGTGTGAAGTGGGATATGATTGCTTAACACAGATCATCCTGCATTGGACTGGCTGTGCAGGAAAAACAAGTTACAAACTAACTGAATATTAGCTCTGCTGTGACAGAACATGCTCTCCCAACTAGAAAGTGGTTGACAAATTTGACATAATTTAAAGAATTGTGGCAGAAGCAATGTGATACAAGGACAAAATTACATGTGGAGGACAAGACTCAAATCGTTAACTGGGGAAAAGCTGCCTGAATTATGATTGATCAAAACGTACATGTGATTGTATTTGCAGTCTTGGTGTTTGAGGTGCTGTCTGTGTTGCACGAACCGTCACCGAAAAATAACAAAAAGCTTATGGTTACCCTAAATAATTTACAGTTTAAGTTGAAATACCAGGGTGATACAGCAAACTGTATACAAGACTGATGTGCTTAATGATGACAAAGAAATAAACATAGAGCACAACTTTTGGGGACCAAGGATTTCTGAGAGAACAATTCTCAGATAAAGGAAAACAAAGCTCTTTTTTTTTCAGGAAGGATAGAAAGCAAACAAAATGAAGCTAATAAAGGCAAAAGAAGATAAAGGCAAGAGAAGACATTTGTCAAAAAATCCATTTTCATCAGAAAATTGGGCTTTTTCAGTACCAACCTAGGAAAATGAAGTCAGGTTCTCATTCAGTGTAAGTTCTGGATGTCTGCTGCTACAAGTACTAACAAGGTCTAGTGATCTAATTAAGTAGTAACTTAAGCATGATCAAGCACTAGCATGAACTTTCCTCTGAATGTGTTACAACCAAACATTAGTGTGGACTTAACAAGGAAGTGTGTCATTAAAATAGGAGCTTTTGATGAGACAAATAGGCCCAGAATATCAATGATAACTGGTTATTGTTTAATAATGTTTTGGTAGGTGCCCAAACTGCCATAAATCTACAATTAAGGAAAAAATATCCTGCTTTGCTAGTGGAAAGAGAAAGAACAACATTTTTGTCTTTCCGCCTATGTGTCAATGTACTTAAACAGAAAAGGGAAGATGAATGCAATGAATATGTAGTTAAGAATACAGCCTA